AGGAGGAGGGTGGTATGTTGCTTCTGGGGTGTTTTTTCCTTCCCAGTCTTGGCTTTGCTTGGAGTTGTTTTTGTGTGCTCCAAATCTGTACTTTTCAAAAGGGAGGGGAGAGAATCACAAAACTCATGCAAAGTTAAGCAAAACCAAAGCTAAAATAAGTTAGGTAATACTATAAACAAACTAAAAGAAGCTCCAAACCTCAGGGTGCCCAACAGGCACCAGACCACTGGATGACTTTGCTGATACAGTTAGAACATGCTAGGCAAGAATCATTGGATCCTAGAGCAGCTTACAGATGCAGCAAAAATTTCCAGAATTTTTGCAGATATAGCAAAAAATCAAGCTAAAATGGGCTCAAAACTGAACAAGTCCATGCAAGGTCTGACAAATCTCAAGGCCTGCTATGGCTGATTATTGTTCTAAAGGTTGAGGCCTATTTCTAGCAGGTGGCACTCTGGGCCACAGGGCTACAAGGCAAAGTGGAGCTTGGGAAGGATGTTTCTGATTGTTAGAGGTTGTAGCCAGATGATCAAACGTTTGGAGGAAAGCTAGCTTTTAGTTCATGCACGCAAACAAGGAGACCACCGTTTCTTCTGGCTTTACATGTGTATTAGTATCTTCTCTGGGTAGATTCCACAGGTAGGTCAGTTCATCTTAATGTATTTCTGTAATGCGGAATAACGAGTGAGCAGAGAAATGGGAAACTGTGCAGGCAAGATATAACTAAACAACGAGGGGGGAAATTGAATCTGCTGGAGAAGATACTTTATTCTGTTTAAAGCCATTCAAATTATCACGTAAGGTGTTTTTAGCACTGTGATTCTTACTATTTTATCCAGTATTTCTTCGTTTAAGGCTGTATTTTAGTTGCTTACAGCTTTGCCAGAAGCTAACCATTTTGCATGGGCTTTTTAAATGCGGCAAACATCAGCCAAGCAGTGGAACTCTCCCGGAGAAAAAGACCAGGGAAATTGCCTTGCTTTGCCCATGTTACAAAGCCCTGTAGACCTTTTCCTGGAGAAATCCTATCTGTCCCAGCTGAACGCTGTCATGCTGTTGCAGGGATGGAGTGGGTGGACGTGCAGCATCGCACCCTCTCTGGGATCCTGACTAGCATCTTCTGGAGCATCGGGAACATGCTGCTGGCCATGGTAGCATACTTGGTGCGGGACTGGCGCTGGCTACTAGTTGCTGTAACTGGACCTTGTTTCCCGAGCATCATCTGCCTGTGGTGAGTGCAACTAGCTGCAGCCTGCTGGGCTGGTGGGGATGGGAGCGGGATGTGATTTTTTTTTTTTTCCAGGCACAGCACCTCTTGAAAGCTGGAGTGGCCCAGGTTTTTGTCCCTCCTGACCAGGAGCCATGGTCACACCATGGCTTTGGGGATGAGGAGGAGGAGGCAGGAGTGGAGCTGAGACCAGGCATTTGGGGGACAGTGGGATGCTGCGTGAAAGAGCAGGATTTGGTACTGAAAGCACTGTCTGAGATGGCTCAGAGCAAGTGAGGAGATCCCTGGTGTGAGACCAGGCATCCCAGGCCAGGGGGACATCCCTGGGGGCATTAATCCCTGGGGGTTTCAAGGCAAATAATTTAGCTATCTCCCGTCCCCCACCTCAGGGTGGGGGGGGACACACCTTTGGTACCAATTTTTCCATGTGAGCCAGTGGCATTTGCAGGCCAGGTCAGGTGCATAGGCTGTGCAAGGTGCAGAGAGATTTCTCAGCTGTGTATCCATCCTTACTCATGAAATGTATTGGTTTTCTGCAGGGTGTTTCCTATCTGTAGCTTTATCTAAGAAATGCCTCCCATCTCTAAGGGGAGATGGTTCTTTTAATCAAAGAAACTCCTTTTCCTCCTCCTCTTTTTAATGAAATGACATGGACTAAAACAGAGAGTCAATTCACGGATAGTGTTATTGTTGTATGAAGAGTATTGGATTAACTTATTAGATGACCTAAAATGGTCCTTTGCATAAGCAGCCCCATTTCCTGGGTGGGTAAAAGTCCAGTGTTCAAATAAGCAAGCAGATATTCCCACAACTGTTCCACTGAGGACCTTAAGATTTGGGTCTTCAACCTCAGGGTTGCTGTTTAGTTCATCTTGGGCATCAGTGTGGTACTGGACCACATTGCAGAAGTCACAGACACGTCTCTTGGGGTGACATGGCATTGTAGCTGGAAACCAGGTGGAATAAATCCTGGTAGTTAGACATATAGACCCCCAGAATTTCATGCTTAATAGTTTAGTAGGAGGAGTGATATCCAAATGCCAAGATGCCTTTCAGCTGCTAGCAAAGGGACTTCTGGAGACTATGGTTTGCTTGTTTATATGGCCAATAGAATGAAGCAAAGGATGAAAGAGCTGCACAGATCTATTACTAACAACACAAACAATTTTTGTGATACAAAAATTTTGGGATACAAACTGATGCTGTTGTTACCTAATAGCTCAATAGGTGCATTTTTTTTCCCCTTGGTGATGAAGGTTTTCTGGCAGAGAATAACACCTGATATTTCACTGATCAAGTCCAACACAGCTAAAATGGGTGTTCTGCTAACTTTGAGGGGGTGGAGTTGTTTTGTTTTTTCTAGGACAACCAACTGTAAAAAATTAAATCCTGGGAAATGCTGCAATTTGTAGATACATTTGGACCTACCCTTCCTATGATAGACTATGATATGACTTTTTTTTCTCATTTGTTAATGCCTTTTATGGAGAGCAATTATTCAAGAAGTTATACTGCAGTATGATCAAAATTCAAGTACCCAAAAGGGTAATGATTGCAGCAAAATTATAAGTCTCTGAAGTATGGATTCAAAATCTGATTTAGCACGTTCTGGGGATATTGTTGACACTGTTATAATGTGGTCGAGACGTTAGACAACCGCAGGACATAATATTATACTCTGGAGATCGTGGCAATGGGTGCAAAATGCTGTCTTGCATTCTTTGTATCTACCCAGGTGGATTTGGGGTATAAGTTATGCGACTGAAAACTTTGCAGCAGTCCCATACTGCAAATGACAGATTTTGACGACTATATGGCTTCAGGAGACCTCTCATATTCCTTCAAGGTTTAAAGTTCTGTCCTTAGAGACACCCATCTGTTTTCGCCTGGAAACTGCAAAGCAGCAACCAGGGGAGCAGCAGCAGCAGCTTAGGTTCCTTCACATTCCTCCTCTACCTTAAAAAACATCAGAAGTTGGATGTCTCCACTGCAAGCAATGTGTGGTCCACCTTATCAAAGATCTCTGACGGAGTGCCAGGAAAGATTAAGCCCTCACCATGTCTTGATATAACCAATGGACCTAGGTGTAGAGCCAAAAATATGAAGAGAGAGGAGAGGTAGAGCGAGGAGAGATACAGTCTTCCCACTGACTGTGCAGGTTGCTCAGCTGCAAGGCTCTGTGGGAACAGTGGTAGTACTTTTTTTTTTCCCCTTCTCTTGGGGCAGACTTTGGTGGTAGGAAGTAGGTGTGGGCTGCTCTAACAAGATGCATCCTGCTCACGGGGTATTCCCACTGTTACCTCTCTGAGACTCGCCACTATGTGGACACACAACACCATGCACCCCTCTAGGCTAGCTGGGCTGCACTTGTGACCTGGGAAGCTCTGGGACAAAGAGCACAGTGTAGCCACAAATTGCAGTCAGATGCAAGATCAGGAAGAAGTCCAAAGTTAATGAGCTGCAGGTGCTAATTGTGGCAATAGCTTGATCTTTTGCTGGAACAGCTAGAAAATTAAGAGGCACAGGTCCCCACCTAGCACAGGTCTGCTAAGGAGACCTCTCAGGACACTGACTAGCTTCGCAGCAACGCAGCGCTCCAAGTCCTTCGCTAACTAGCATGGCTACTTCCTTGGTGGTCCTAGCCACAATGATTTAGATCACAGTTGACTGTCTTGTGCAAAAGGCTTTAATTATGGCAAAAAAACAAATAATGATATTAATTAACAAAATGAATATGAAACATAACCTCAAAGAGCTCACTAAGTTCTTCCTGTGCAGTCATTTTTTTCTATCCTACAATTTTGAAGAGTCCCAAAAAGCATGCATCTCAAAATATAAACTCTTTGGGGCCAGTTTTAATTTATTAGAACTGGAAATTTTTATCAGTTCAGAAAATCCAAGCTTTGATCAAAGATCATATGATTCACATATATATATATATATATATATACACACACATACATATATACATATGTATATAAAGTTGTTATTTCCAGCTGAAGTCCCACAGAGAAGACCTTCTCTGTTTGACAAGGGTCATGTATGTGGGTTGGAAAGTATGAAATGCCAACAGGAATATTGTCTTCTCTCCTCCCACCAGGTGGGTCCCAGAGTCTGCCCGGTGGCTCATAGCCAATGGCAAAGTGAAACAAGCTCACAGGCATCTGCTTAGGTGCGCAAGAATGAACGGAAGGAAAGACTTTGCTGTCTCACCAGAGGTGAGAACCTGAGGATCCAGACGTGTTCTTCTCCCATTTTCTCTTTCTCTCTATTTTACTTCTGTTTGATACCTGAAGCAACTCTCAGCCTACTGTGTGGTCTGTGGGGCGCTGTGATCCACAGCGAGCCATGCTGGAAAGGAGTTACAACCATCCCTAAAGAGGAAGCATCAGCTTAGCTCACGTAAGGCCAGAGACCCCCCCTTTGATAGGAGGAGTGTCTCTCCATTTACCACTGCCATGACAAGAAGCCTCACTGTACTGGATGCTGGTCTAAATATCCAGTGAGAGAAGCACAGGCTGGAAGAACAAGGCAGAGGCATCGCTCCTATAACAGAGAACAAAACATGCAGGCTCACGAGCAACTTGCACAGCTTCGTGTTTGCTGTGTTGGTACAGTGCTAACGGGCAGCAGATGCACATTAATAGTGTTTCTCCTCATATTGCACTTGAGGAGATATTGTATGTAGCGTTATCCATCTGATAAAAATCTGAGGGCTAATCCATCTCTGGCTGGAGGAATGACTTTGCACATAGTGTACGTCTAACTGGAAGGTTGTCAGCCATAGCAACCCAGTGCTGAATTTGGGTGTCATGAACAGTTGGCATAATCAACTTTTTCACCTGGTTGAAGAACTGCTCTCAAGTCAGTCATGGCTCTGCCAGCAATTTTAAAGCAACGTGGCAAGGGTGAGGGGTCGGGCAAAGCAGGCAGGCACCTGCTGGTCTGGATCCATTTTTGCTTGACCTCAGAGGTATAAGGGTTGGAATGAAAATGTCCGGTTAGATGATTGGCTCCAATAAAGGGGAAGGAGCACCCTGAAAATAGCCATCTATCTTCAGTTCAAAAGCTCAAGAAGTAAGACTGGTTTGGAAATCTTTACCTTGTGCTAAGTTCTAAAAAAACGCAATTCTGCAATCAGACTCTCAAATGCTAAGACCTTGGTCCCCCAGATGCTGTGGGAGCAGGGTTGGGCATGAGCCCTAGCCTGTCTAGGGCTCCATGTCTGGATCCTAGACGTACAGCAGCTGAACTATTTCCTTCATTCCACCTGTCTCAGGCCCTCAGAAGGATGACAACAGAGAAAAAGTCAGGAGAGAATTACTCCTACATCAGCCTGTTCAGGACACCAGTCCTACGGAAGATCTCTCTCTGTTCTGGCGCTGTGTGGTAAGCAGTGTCGCTTTGCACAGAGGATTTGTCCTACAGTTCCCTGGCTGAATTTCCCTAATTCCCATCTCCGCATGCTCCTTGCAGGTTTGGTGTTGCCTTCTCTTATTATGGCATGAGCCTGAACCTAACTGGTTTTGGGCTCAATATGTATCTCTCCCAATTTGTTTTTGGCATCATTGAGATTCCAGCTAAGCTGATCATGTACGTGCTAGTGAATCGAGTTGGACGACGGCAGAGTCAGGCATGGACACTCATACTGGCCGGATTGTGCATAGGAGCCAACGTCATCATTCCCAAGTGTGAGACACTCCTCTGCTATATGCGGTACTTCCTAAAAAAGGAGACTTCCATTCAGTGCACTGCTAGAGAAGAAGAATGGGAGATCTTCCCTGCAGGAAACTCTGTTCAGAGATGCCTTCTACCTACAAGGGTAACAGTGGGACAAGGTTGCTAATGTGGGCCAGCTCTAATATCTGGTGGTGACAGATGCTCTCCACTCACTGTGAGGCAGCTAGTCAGGGTCCAGTGATGGCCAGATTAAGTGCCATCTTATTATAGACATTGTCCAGTGGAAAATGCTGGGACCATCCATCCTTTCACCAGTTCAACTCCCACTTGGGCTAATAGTTTGTCACCAAATTTACTCATCCAGGCTTCAGAGGCAGCAGCTCCAGGGCTACGTAGCTCCTGACTTTGTAGGACCTTCTAACCTTCTCCCCTACTTTACCTTGAGGCCACAACGAGCTTCTTTCTAGAGGCTACTTTTAGACCATTGGCATAAGTGTCTTTTCTTTCCTCCTAGCTTTCACCTCCATGCGCTCTGTAGTAGCCATTATGGGCAAAGGTTTCTCAGAATCTGCATTCACTACTGTCTTCTTGTACACCTCTGAGCTCTACCCCACCATACTGAGGTAAGAGATGCCGCTCGCCTGAGCGCGCAGCCCGACCCTCTGCAGGGTGTCACCCTCGGGTCTTTGACATCAGCACAGCAGGACATGCTGTTAGCTAGGCTGCAGAGCTGGTGCCTTAGCTCTAGAGGTAGCAAGGTCTAAGGACTACATATAGTCATGAAAAAGGGGCAGAGAGCTATTTTTGGCCTAGGTTATGTCAGGCAGGTTATACCTAAAGAGAAACATATTGAAAGGTGATGGGCATTCTGTGTGGGAAGATTTTTGAACTCAGTAAGGAATCTGTGCTTAGTGAAGTCGTAATTCCCTGGGAGAATCCGCCAGTAACTGTTATAAGACCTAGAGAAAAATCATTTGAAATGTCAAGTTTATAAGGGACACGTGCCACCATAAGTTGGACAGTCTTCTGGCTTACAGATGATATTAAAGCAGGGATTATCTAGCCTTTCATGGTGAAAAAGATAGCTTATTTAAAAGATCTTCAGATTTAGTAGCGGCATAGTTTGGGATATTTCTGAGGCTGGTAGATTGAATTATCTTTCACCAGTCTGTTGAATGTGGGGACTGATGCATATTTAAACCAGAGTGGGCACATTGGTCTGCTACTTTTCTTCTCAGATAGGTCTGCATTTCTATGCACTGAAAGACATTGACAGGTGAAGGCAACAGTCCTCTCTCTCTCTGCAATTCCTTTTCTGTATATGCACAAACAGGTCCTGCAATCCCTACTTCAGGTGTAAAATGCCATCCTTTCACTGCAAATTAATGAGTGGATTCGGTCCCAGGTTCTCTTTTTGGGCACCTCTCCAAGTTCTCCTAGGTTATAGCTACAGCAGGACCGAGGGTGCTCACAGGAATCCCTGTGCTGGCCGCCTGTCTGGAAGTGCCTGGGAGACAGCGGGACGTAGATTTGCTTTCGGCAGATGAGAGGATGTATTAGGGGGGCAGGTAGAAAATATACACAGGGTTTTTGACATTCAAAGTGGAAACAGCTTTGGAGTGGATATTTTTAGTGCAGAACTTCAACTTCGGTCTCATAATCGTAAGTAAACCTGCTTCTCACAGCAGCTATTCTTGCTCTTTGGGAAGTATCATCACTGTATGAACATATGAAGAGGGGGGAAAAAAAGCCTAGAAAAAAACCCTAGCAGTGGAAAAGCCTCGGGGGGGGAGGGAAGCCTCATCACGTATAGAAATACAGGGGGAAGGAGCAGAGGGCCTGTACTTTTTCCCCAAGATTTGATATAAAAAAAGTAGCCGTTTCTCTCTTGTAGTGGTCTACACCACCATGGTGCCCTCCCTTTCCAGGCAGAATGGGATGGGATACACCTCCTTCGTAGCACGCATCGGAGGAGCTCTGGCCCCACTCGTGTTTTTGCTGGACGACGTGTGGCGGTCTCTGCCTGAGGTGACATACTGTGGTGTCGCGGTGTGCTGTGGCTCCGTGGCCTTCCTGCTCCCAGAGACACTGAACGTGCACCTGCCTGAGGGCATCGAGGACGTCGAGAAGACACAGTGAGTCAGCTCCATCCTGCCCTGTGTGGGGTGTCTGCTGAGTGAGGCAGGGAGATGGCCCACTCTGCTTCTCTGTCCCTGGGTAGCAGCAGATTAAGGAGCAGCCCATGAGGGATGGAGACAGTTAGGCTTCCTGGTTTTGTGTCCATCAGTCCAACATGCCTTCTTTTCCTCCAGAGTGAGAGGGCCACTACAAATCGGTGCTCCTGAGGGTGTGCCATTACAGTCTCGTCTGAAGTGAATGCCTATGGGGGACAGCCATGGATGTACCACATGGGACTGCAAAACTGAGCCATGTTCTGACCTTTCAATAAAAGAGCTCTTGCTGTCCTCGTGGTCTCTTTCTGCAGAGGAGTGGGGCTGAGGACGTGCATAAAGCCAAGTTCCTTCACCTTTCGAGGTTGTGGTGGTGCTTCTATTTGGGTTGCGATCTTCAGTTCCGCAAGAGCCTATGTGGTGCTCAGTCTACCACAGTATCATGCACAGTTGTCTACCCAAGCCAGAACCTCCTTCAATTACTGCTGCCCTCCTTCAACAGTCTCCAGGTTTCCACCCAAAGGACCTAGGCTGCCTGAAATCCCTTCTGCTTCTCCACCTCTCCATCACTGGGTTACTTTTACCTTGGCATCCATTGCTGCCTGCAGGGACTCTGCAAGCAGGTTTAGACACAGTTAATGAGTGAAAAGCCAGTCTTCATTGGCTAACAGGTTTAGTTAATAGCTCAGACTTACACACTCTCCTTTCCTTCTGCTTTCATGCAGGCACCCAGCAAATTTTTGCTCATGGCAGCTGGGGGAAGAAGTGTTGATCTATCTCCCCAGGATAGGCTGATTCTCATGTTACTGCGCTGCTGTCTTCATAGTCCCTATTTGTTTTTCTTCTTTTTTTATGAGCGTTTCACATGTTTTCATGGCATTATTTTTTCCTCTTGACTCCTTGTCCTTCTGAGTATAACCTTCTGTACATGTCACTTCTGTCTGTATTTCTGCTTTCCTTCTCTTGCATGGTTTTTCCTCATGGTGAGCATGAAGGCGGTATCTAGGGGTGGGAGACAGTGTTCAGGGCCTGGCAGACCTGAGCCCGTACTGTACTAGGAGGACCTAGAGGTGAACTCCTGAAGCACAAGAGGGTGTTTCAGGTATGGTTAATACAAAAAAATGTTCCTTGTCCGAGATACTCAGACATAGCTCCCTTGGTGGAGAAGGGTATCTGGGGCACAGCAGACTTTAAGCATTATCATTGCCCTCGAGCCTCGAGAGGGCCCCTGCGGTCAGGAAGGGAGTTTAGGCATGCGCGCAGATTGCACATGTGTGTGTGTAGCTGGTGTCCATGGGTCCATGGCAGACATGTGGGGCTCCACTTGCTTCATCTTGCTAGGTGTTGAAAGCAAGCAGTGGGGCACAGCGTGTGTGTGCTAGGGGTTGAGGCAGTGAGTTGCGAGTCTGGAGATGCAGGAGCTCAACTGAGGCTTAGCTGGAGGAGGGTGACTGTGGGGAGGTCTGGAAGCTAACAGGGTGGAGGAAATGGAGGTTCTCTCTCTGACGCTGGCTGTGGGCGTTCGGAGGGCGAGACAATTTGGCAGCTTTGATGATGAATGTTCACAATACAGTTAATAGCCTTTTTTTGGGGGGGTGTCTATTTTACAGCATAACAAAAAGAAAATCTCCCCTAGCTAGGCGGTTTTCTCCTCATCCTGACTACTCTGAAGCATTTTTCTTTTTCAAGTCCTCATGATGGAGTGTACTGGTCTTAGGAAAAGAGCTTTTTAGTCAGTGTCAATGCCCGCCACATCTTCAGGGTTTAGGCTTTTATTGCTCAGGAGGTGCTACTGGTTATCCCAAACATTTCTTTTTCTCTCAGCAGGCAACGTTTTCCTTCAGAAAAGGAGGTTTGGAGCAATAGCTGTTATTGATGCCATATGCTTGTTTGCCCATGGAGCAAAGAAAAACAAGTGTAGTATCTTTGTCCACATTACAGCTGTGGTAGCGCACAGGTTACCAAACAGGTTGCTCCAGCGGAAGTACAATCTAGAACGCTCCTACGGCTATAAGCTTAAATACGGTCATGTTCGAATGGTGATAAAACTAAATGTATGAACAGGAGCTGGGGTGCATTTTTGTAGTCTCGTGTTCATCTTTATCTTTGTTTAATCTCCAGATGGAAGAGAAACTTTTCTGGACCTGGGCAAAAATTTTTAGATTTCTACTTATTTCTACTGTTTTTAGATTTTCTACTTTCTACCTGGTCATACATGTGTTTTTGATTGCTTAGCACTGAGAGGTCAGGGTTTTTCACTGATGATTTGGAGACCAGGGCTTTTGTTGAGGCTTGAGAGTTCATGGTCTTTGACTTGGAGTCATCAGTTCAAAGAATATCATGGGAGCGTGGGTTTATCATTTCAGGGTTGTTGAAAGTTTTGCAAGGCTACTGCTGAAGGTTGAGGGCTCACGGTTTGTCACTCAGGGTTTATTGCTGAGAGCTTCTCAGTGAGAGTTTATGGTTTATCATTTAGTTTATTACTGAGGGCTCAATGTTCATTCAGGGTTTGTGGTTTCTTGTTTAGGGATTAGGGTTTAATGGGTTGTTGTCTAAAGGTTTACAACATACAGTTTAAAAACAAACTATAAACTGTAACTCCTAACAAAATAAACTGTTCACCCTTATTTAGGATTTGTATTAACTGAGGGGCAGGAGGAATTTGAACTTAAAGCTTAACCTATGCGTTCATTCAATCCCACTTATTATTGTGGGTATTAATCACGAAATAACTGCTTTATGCTCTTAGGTACGTGCCATTTGCAGTCTCTCTGCGCACAGTAAAAGTTGCCTGAAGAAAGCAACCCAGAGCAAAGGTTGCACCATCCCTCAGGGACTACTCAGGGTCACACTGGGCTATTCTCAAGGTCTCTTGGGCCATTTGCGGGGGGGGAGGTGTCCATGAACACCCTTCGGCTTTTGCAGTACTGTTCCTGTAATCTCTGAGGCTTTTCTCTTGGGTCTCCAGGGCTACTCTGGGATGTCTCTAGGACTTTCCCTAGACTCCTTGAGAGAGTTTCAGGGGTCTTCAGAGGTCTTCTGTCTTCTGGGGAGAACAACTCATCCCATCAATGGTGGGGCTGTTTCAAGGTATCCTGTGGTCTTCTAGAGGTGCTGTCTCCAGGATCCACGGGGCTCTTTTAGGGTCTTGTGGCCATTCCCAGCGTCTCTAGGGCTACTCTGGGGTGGTTGCAGCTCTTCTCATAGCGCTCATGCCTATCCAGGGGTTTCCAGAGCTGGTCTCAGCATCTACAGCGCTGTTGCTCAGGTCTCTGAGGACAGAACTGGCATCTCCAGGGCTGGTACCAAGGTCTGGGCTGCTCCTATCGTCCTGTGGGGATCTGAGGGTCTCTTGGGTGGTTCCTGTTGTCCCCAGAGCTGTTGCCAGTGCCACCATCTGTGGTGGCTGGGCTGTCAGCTCCTGGGAGTGAATTACAAGCTAGCAGGGTGGCATCACTGTGGGGAGGTCTCCTTCCTTCAACATCAGATAAAGCCTGGGGAAAGGGTTTCCCCAGAGAAATCACAGCTGTAGGCACCTCTCTCAACGCCTGCCTAGGTCAACATCACTGCAGCAGTCCAGTTTGGGGCTGGAACCATTCAGGACTTTTGGGAAGTCAGGGGAGTGCAGCAGTGCTTGGTTTTAGAGGAGCAAGGGCCTGACATAAAGGCTGCAGTAGTGGCCGCTAGGGTAATACATGCCTGTCCCCTAGCCTAGCAGAAGCCACATATGGAGCAGCATGGTGGGGAACGTCTGGGTCACACAGAAGCTTCGGGCTGGTTTTTACTTTCCTCTGGCTAAGGGCATTGATGGCCCTGGGCACAGCAATCGCGCGTGCAAGTCCCTTTCAGCTGCCCGGCAGCTGGATTTCTTGTGACAACAATGCACCTCCCCTTGTGCGGAGGTGCGGGGAAGGAGAGGCATTTTCCATCTCAGGTGAAGTTCTGCCATAGGAGTGGGCAGGACAGGGTCTGTCCTTCCCCAATTTTTTTTGTTTTCAGCTGTGTGGGCCCTCCCCACCCTCACCTCAGCTGGTACATCCAATTGGTGCTGCAGATGACTGCCTGGAGGTATGCTGCCCCCAGGCATGTCTGTGGAACAAGACCTGTGTCTGATGCCCAGGGGAAAGGTGGCCTGCGCAGCGTGGTATAATACAAATATGGAGTTGGTGGAAGGTGGAAGACATAACGAGATGGATTCCTATGTTGGCTGTGTACTGCTTGGTTTGTCTTTGCAGGCAACCCTTTCTCAGGATGTAGAGATGGAGCAGGGCTGTCAGAGGCCAGGTGGACCAGCCAGTATGACCAGCCTGGCTACTACTTGCTGCTGTCTATGCGGCATCTGAGGCATCGTTGCTATTGGCCGGGAATGCAAACTAGAACGGTGGATGTTCAGTAGCATGAAGTTCGAGGGGGGAAAAGAAAAGGGGCGAAGTCACTTCCGCTTTTCTCCCCACCTCTTTGCATCATATCTAGGAGCAGTAGAGGTGGCGCGTTAGGAGGTAGGCTAGGGCCTACCCTACTCATATGCTGGTGCTGGGATGCAGAGCAGGAGATCCCTGCCACGCCAGCTCTACAGTCTTGATGTCCCACCTTCCTGCTGCAGGGCAACATCCACCCGGCTGATTGCCCAGGCATACTGGAAGGGTCCTAATGCTAAGCGTTTGTCCCAAATACATAAAGAAGAAAAAAAGGTTTTGCAGATGATTTAAATCTAGTATATATGTGGTATTTTTTTTAAGTTTAAGAAAAAGGGGGGGGAATTCTTGTTACAGGAACTTTGGCACGTAATCTGGAGTAATTCAGTGTTGGACATCAGTCTGTTTAACGGTCTAACGCGCTGATCCTAAATTTAGGAATTGCTGTTGCATCTCATATTTCTGCAAGCAAAATTATCTATAAATTTGGAACGCTGAAAATGAGCGTTTTTCTAAACAGGGAAAAGAGAACGGCCTGAGCGTCTGCGTCTCGCACGTGCCGTGAGCCGCGGGGCTTTGAGGTGTTTTAAGCCAAGCCATAGGCAGGTCTCAAAGGAAGTAATGGTGCAGGTGGAGAGCCTCGTGAAATCCCGAGTCGAAGAGCTCCTCCTAGTAGAAGTAAGTTGCCTGGCGAAATTTTGCACATCACCTTTTTTGCTCGAAGCCAGCAAAAGGAAAGCAAACTTCTTCAAGTCACCCTGGGGAAGCAGGGGGGGCGCGTTGTTCTGCGTGTTGTTTCTGGCTCCAGGAAAAGGGTCGTCGGGACACAGCAGCCCGCGAGCGTGGTCCTTCCGCGCGCGCTGCTGGGGCCGCCTCTGCGCGGCGGTCCCCCGACAGCCAGCTGAGGACTTGAAGAGCGCGCCTAGGAGCGGGGAGGTTCTGGCTTGGGGGCAAGCGCAGCAGCTTCCAGCAGGTCAAGTGCGAGAGTTTGCACCTCTTCTCTGGAGGCCTGCAAGCGTGCCGAATTACGCCAGCGCTCTGCTGCTGCCGGCTCCTGACCTGAAGCTAGCACAGCCTCCTCCTTGGAGCTGTCCAGGCCCGCTGGCGATGAAAAGCCGTAAAACTCACTGTGTCAGGGCCGGGCCGCTGCCAGCTGAGGAAAACCTTCAGCCACCAAGGTCTGATGTCCCGCCAGGGAGGGAGGAGGATGGATTTCACGCCCTGGGTTTGTTTTTTTTTTTTTTTCTTTTTTCTGCATCTCTTTAGTCTTCTCAACAGGGTGACAGATACGGTCCCAAATTAACGGGGTTGGAGGGTCACAGATCTCCTGGCCCAGGAGGAAAAAACTGTGAGGGGGATAAAATCTGCTGGGATGAATTATTGCTGAAGAACTCACCTGTACGTTACTTCAAAAAACAAAAAGTGACATAATTATTCAACGTTGGCAGTGTTTGTCCTGCCTCTTGCCGTTCTTGGAGCAGTTCATAGAACGGATGATTTTTACCCCAACAAAACATTTCTTTAGTAAAAATAAATACGTGTGCTTGGTCCCGTGAACCCC